GGATTAAGGTGTTAGAATATATATAACTGTCCAGGGATCTTCTTCTCTTCTTCCATATACTGCCCACATTCAACATGATGAATATTCTGGCAAGTTGCGCATGATTAAAAACAGGTTAAAAACAGGATAAAAACAAATTGTTCTGTTGATTTAGTTTGTGGTTTTGGTGACTTGAGACTTGAATATCTCAAGAGACTTTGCTGTGGCGGTATCTGGTGGCAGTTTGTTCCAATCCTTGACGGTGTTTATGAAGAAGGACCATTTCCTACAGTCTTTGGTGGCTGGCTGTAATAGGTAAGTATGTTGTCCTGTCCGGTTTGAGCTTCTTGTTGGTTTTTGTAGATATTTATTCTTGTCTATGGCTACAAGGTCGTTTGTTATTTTGTAACACATGATGAGTCGTGCTTCTTTTCGTCTTGTTTGTAAGCTTTTCCATCCTAATTCATTTATCATGTTGCTGACACTTGATCTATTTCTATGTCTGCTGGTTACATATCGTGCAGCTCTTCTTTGTACCTTTTCAATTTTATCTATGTGGTTTTGCTGGTACGGGTCCCATACTGTCGTGGCGTATTCCATTTGCGGTCTTACTAATATTTTATAGGCATGCTCTTTGATGGATTTTGAGCTAATGTGGAGGTTTCGATGTAGGAAACCAAGGCTTCGGCTGGCTTTTCCTGTGATGTTGTTTATATGTTCTCCCCAATCTAGATCATTTGCGATGGTGCAGCCTAGGTATTTAGTTGATGTTTCATGCATCAGAGTATGGCCGTGGAGTTTATAGTCCCACTTGGTTGGCCTTTTCTTTTTTGTAACAGTGAGGACACTACATTTTTCAGGATGGAACTCCATTTTCCAGAGTTCTTCCCATTTTGCCAGTTTGTCCAGGTCTTCTTGGAGTTTATGGCAGTCGCTGTCTGATGAAATTGTCAAATAGACCACAGTATCGTCCGCAAACAGTCTCACTGTGGAGTGTAAGCCTTCTGGTAGGTCGTTGATGTAGAACAGAAAAAGACTGGGTCCTAATACTGATCCTTGCGGTACTCCGGATTCTACTTTTACTTTGTCAGATGTTTCGCCTTCAACAACTACTACCTGGGTTCTATTGGTGAGAAATTCCTTTATCCATTTGTTTGTTTTACTTCGGATGCCATAATGGTGTAATTTATGGAGGAGTAAGCTGTGGGACACCTTATCAAAAGCTTTTGAAAAGTCAAGTATTAGCAGATCTGATTGTTTTCCGTTTTCCAGGTTTTTTGTGATGTCATCGATACATTCAAGGAGTTGTGTTTCGCATGATCTTTTACTTCTGAAGCCGTGTTGTAATGGGTATAGTATGTTATTTACCTCTGCATGTTTCATGATGTTACTGGTGACTATGTGTTCTATTATTTTGCAGCAAATACATGTTAGGGATATTGGCCTATAGTTAGCTGCTATGTATTTCTGGCCTTTCTTATATGCCGGAGTGACATTTGCAGTTCGCCAGTCATCGGGTATCTTTCCTTCCTCCATTGAAAAATTGTATATGATGGTTAAGATTGGAGCAATTTCACTGGCTAGTTCTTTCAGAATCATTGGCTTGATGTTGTCTGGTCCAGCAGCCTTGTGTGGTTTAAGATTTTTCAGCTGTTTTTCCACTCCATTAATTGTGATGATTATTTGTTCGCTGTCTGGATAATTTTCTGGTAGATCTGACATGAGTTTTTTCTTTTCAAAATCTCGTTTACTGATTGGACATGCAGCAGAGAAGACTGATTGAAATTGATTATTTAGAATATTTGCTTTATTTATTGGGTCAGTTTCCAATTTCCCATTTCTTCTAAGTGGTGCTACTCCATTTTTATCACTTTTCTTGTGTTTGATATAGGTCCAGAATCTTTTTGTTGGTGAACGGATGTCCTCGTTATCTTCTGGAGTTATTATGTCTTCTATATACTTCCAATAGGCTTGTCTTGATTTTCTTTGGATGGTTTGTTTCAGTTGTTTAAATCTTTTAACATCAGTAGCATGGTTTGATTTCTTTTTCTTTTTATAAGCTCGGTCTCTTCGTCTCATAAGTTTTTTGATTTCCTGGGTTATCCATGGGTTTTTGTCCTTAGTCTTGCATACTTTGGAAGGTATATGCTGGTTAGTACTGCTTTCTAGGTCTTCTTTGAACATGTTCCAGAGTATATTGATGTTTGTCTTCTTGTTCAGGCTTTCTTTTTGAATTTTGATATAAAGCAAATTCATATCCTCTTTTATGCTGTCCCATTTAGCTCTTCTATACAGTTGGATTTTTCTTGGCTTTTGTTTGTTTGTCATTGGATTGGTGTTCATTTCTGCATACACAATATCATGGTCTGAAATTCCTGGAATGACATCAAGTCTCATCATTTTACTAGGACAGTTGGTTATAAGAAGGTCCAAAGTGTTTTTATTTCTAGTTGGCTCTTGTACTAATTGAGTTAATCCATTGTCATCAAGAATATCAGTAAGCTGGTAATGTTGTTCTGCATGTTGAGTTCCTTGGCGGACTGTTTTGTTTGTCCAGTTCCATCCTGGTAGGTTGAAGTCACCCCCAATCATTAAGCATGCATTGTTTTGTGAGGCTCTAGTTACAGCTGTTTCAAATTCTGAGAGGCTCTCTTTGTTAGATGTTTTTGGATTATAATATGAGCATATGTAGAGGTCTTTTGTGCCTTTTTGTTGTATTCGTGCCCATATTATTTCACAGTTAGTGTCTAGTTCTGGTATTTCAGTGCTTAGAAACTTGTTGTGTATGGCGATAAGGACTCCACCCCCAGTTTTATTTTCCTTTCTGTCCTTGCGATAGATGTTATATTCTGGAGGGAATATTTGGCTGTTGGTGATTGATGAATCCAACCAAGTTTCTGTCATTATCATTACGTCTGGCTTTGTACTATCTATAAGATTTTGGACTTGGTGTTGTTTGTTTCTGATGGACTGACAATTCACATTTAGGATCCTTAATGGTATAAATGGTTTATTCCTAGTTTCTTGTTTTTCTCTCTTTGGAGTTGATGTGTGTTTTGGTTTTACACATTCTTGTTGGGATGCTGTACTCATATCAAATGTACCATCTAGTAATAAGTTAAAGCTATTGTTTGTTGAGATAGCTGTTGAACCATAGCATAAGGAATTGTAGTTTGGATTATCACAAATGATACAATCCCATCGCACAGAGATGTTTTTATCATCCACAAGGTAGCTATAGGTTTTACTGTGAATATCTTGGCAGTTGATATGAAACCATTGGTCACAGGTATCGCATCTTATGGCTCTGTCGTCCCATGTCACAGGCTGGTCACAAGTTCCACATGGGTATATAGTGCTGTCGTTATGTGTTGGTCCTGGGTTTGGATTTACATCATTTGCATTTGCTAATAGTATGAGCAGTAAATATGATGATACTGATTTACATTTATAAGGATAAGCTCTTGGTGATTTTAGTCTATTTACTGTTGTTAACAAGCTATATACTGTTGTGTCCTGTTTTATTTGAACCTCTGTATCTTCAATGTTTGCCATAGCTGCATTTTTCATGTTCATGATGGTGCTGGCAATGATGATAAAAATTGTGATAAACCTCATTTTGAAAGTTGAAGTTGATATTTAATGCAGGTGTTATTTACTGAATATATTCTAGTTTGACTCTGTATTGATACGGTGTAGTAAAGACTGATAAGATAAACTCACCTAAACCCTTTACTACAGTATTTTCGTCTTGGTGCTAGAATAATGTCAATAGATCTGCTTCTTCGACTTGTAGTTGGACAAATTCTGATTCTTGTATTGCGTTGTAGCATTCGCTGTAGGTGTCAAGCAATAGTTGTTTGGTGATGGCAAGGCTAAGTAAATTTCCTGGGTGTAGACCGTCTTTTTTGTTGACTGAGATGTTGATTGACTTTCTATAGCCGCCTCTTTTTATTTTTCTGCCCCTGATGAAGAATTTGCTAACTTTTATGGTGTTCTTGTTTAATTTCTGGTTTAGGTTTATAATTTCAGAGTTAAGTTTCTGTATCTGTTTTGTTACTTGGAAGTCTTCAACTTTAAATGATGCAGGTTGTTTATGTCCTTTGAACTTATTGTACTTGCTGATCGACAGTATGGGACAATCCACAAACTTTATCTCGGCACCTGGGTGTTGCTCAACAATGTGTATTGCTCTTTCGTATTCTCTTAATATGGTATTTACAGTTTTAGAACTTTGGTGTCTAAGTCTAATAAATTTCCCCTCTTTGATGGTAAAATCACAGGTTCCTGACCAAAAGTAAATAATGATGTGATAATGTCTCTTGATTGCTTTTGGAATTCTGTGCTCAATCAAGTCAACCAGTTCTGATGTTTTTGCTCCGGAGATGCACCACGATTCTAGTGGGAATTCGCTGTCTTGGCAGGCGTTCCGTACGGTAAAGCCCTTGCTGTCAGATACTAATATCGGTGTTTTATATCTGAATCCGCTTGGAATTTGGGGTTGCTCAGCAATATATTTCTTTAATTTGTTGCTCATCTGAAAATAAGGGTTTAGGAAAATATGCAATAATAAACAAATTCTATTTCCAAACCGGAAATGTCAAATTTCTTTGTTGTCAATGTAAACATTTCTTCCCGCCATATAGCGGATTGAAACAAGATGATTTTTACTGTTTTCTGGAAATATTTCACGGTAATTGTGAAATACGTATGTAGGTAAACAATTTTAGGGTTTGAATCAAGTAAATCAAGGATTAAATTCAAAGGATATCGTCTTCTCTGTGAAATTTTTCTTTAGCTCTGTTTGAAAACGTCCGTTCAGTTCTCGCACATGCGCGAATAATTTCTTTTGGCACCAACTTAGAAAATTTGCTTTAGACTCCCAAAAGTAATTATAAGAATAATACGTGTACTGAGATGAAAGAATGCAACATATAAACTTTTCTGTTACTGGAACTTTGGGACCTTGTGTCATGTTTGTTTTAAACAATATATATATATATATAATACATATAAATTACTTCTGGAATAATCTAATGTCTAGCTTATCATTTATATCAGGAGGCTGTACATTCCATATACCAACATCATGATGCCATCTACTTTTGTATTCTACTGCCATCATTTCAAAGGCTGAAGAAGATTCAATGTTTTCAATATCATCAATGTCCAAAACATTATATGGATGTCTTTTGTGTTCAGTTCCGAAAATTTCATGGTTTTCAATCACTTTCTTACATCGATCAACACGTTGCAAAACTTTTGGATCTTTCAAATTGAAAGCAAATGAAATTAAATCCATTGGATCAAAAGCTTTTGTCGTAACGGATTCTATGCCTATTTTATTTAAAGTATTTTTGTTCCATTTTGAAGTACAGTCATCAATTTCCGTTGGAGAAGAAGTAATTTTTGTCTGATCTTCTGACGATGTAGTTTGATCTGAAGAGTCCGATCGAGGACTAGAACTTTCAACTACATGTACATTAGGATAAGATTGTGGACTAGAAGAATTTTCAGATTCTTCAAACAAGCTGCTGGACTTTCTTTTCTTGGACGAAGATGCTGAACACGTAGAAGACACATTTTCTGTCATCTTTTATTTTAGGAGCCTCAATCACTGAATCAGAAATCCAGTTGACCATGACCGTACATGGAACAAAAAAACTGTTTCTTTATAGCAGTTTTACGTTACCGGAAACTGTCTTGACAATGAAAGTGCTGCTAAATTCATGTACGCTGTCCCGTGATTTCAAATAAAATAGTTCCCTACTTTACTATCTTACTATTTTATGACTTATTAGGACCTAAATTAATTAATTTTTTGCAAAGTTTTAAGATATCAAGTACCTTTTAAGAATAATGACAAGATCCCAAATAAGGTAATTTTAAACTGCGAAGGAAAACTTGTGTAAAAATGTTGACAAATTGTTCTAAACCCCAACCCTTTTACATAAGTCTTATAAAATAACCTTTTCATTATACATTCTGTAGTACGTATAGCACCTTTAACTTACAATTATAAGAAAGTTTAATTTAAGACCACTTAAATTCTAAATTCTCATTTGTAAATATATCCAGTTCTTACTTATCTTGTTCTTACACCTCAGCACATTATGAATATTATTTTTATAAAATTTTATGATGACTATCCTATGAATTAATTATAATATTAATTATTTAGTAATTATTATTGCCTTATTTCAGTCATCTGTACATAATTAAATGTTTCCTTATGTTTTAAGGTGTATATAGTTTCTACAATTATACCCTATGGGTATGGGGTATGGGTAGTGCTCCACAATTAATGGAGGAATATACAAGAAACTGAACTGTCGTTCCGGCCCCAAGTCGTTCCGACCAAAGTCGACTAGTGTCTGCTGATTATGATTTTTTTGAAGTTATCAAGACTATTGTGTATGCATGATTATAATAAACATGTACATTTTTTTTTTGTTAAAAGAAATTGTTTAATTCTCTCAGTACACCAAAAACGAAATAATCATACATGGAAAAAATTCAGACAGCCGTGAAAGAAATTTGGTAAATAATTTAAAAAGGAAATCTATGAAAATGTATTTTTAAGAACGATGTTCTGGAGGTTCAAAAAGTGCTGATCTTTGGATTACTGTCAAACCTTTCTTTTAAAAAAATGTAAATACCGGGGGCAAAAAACTATTTCATATGAAGAAAATAAAATAATAAATAATTCAAAAGAAGTATCAGATGTCTTTAAGGTAACAGGTACGTAAAAGGCTTGTTCAGCGATTTTTAAAAGAAATTGTATACGCGTAGAACTTATAAAAAAACAAATGAAAAATCGAAAAATTTATAAATTCCTAACCGATCTAACTTCGGAGTTCCAGACATTTGAAAATAGTAAGGAAACAACATAAAGTACATATAGACATAACGTCAAATTTAAACCAAAAATAAGGAATTTCAAGCTTAATTTATTCTGCAGTTTAAACCTATTCTACAATTTTTCTATATAATTAAATGTTTTTATAGTCGAATTTTCCTTTCTATTGATATATAATTTTCATGGGGTTACCGAACTCCCTTTATGTATCAGCCGTTGAAAGGGTGTTGCCGACGGGAAAAGATAGAAATTGCATGCCGACGTCGCCGAAAAGGATTACGCAACGTCAAGTCACGGCTCCATCAGCAGAATCGTCGTCTACCAGCATCAGAATTATTGTCACATAACGACAACGACCGCTTCATTATAATTTGTTTCTCTATACATATGCGCTATAGAGCATATTATCCTGTCTGAAAAAAGTATTAATTACCGATTATCATTTTTTAGGGATTACACGAGATCCTATGTATTTATTACTTAAAATTATTTGTGGAATGATTAAAGGACATCTTTAAAAATGGACTAGTGTGTATATCATAGGTTAAGCTCTAAATTGTACATTCTATAAAATTATAAACAAATTTAACAGAAACAATCAAAGATCTGTCATTACAATCTAATTCTCCGAATGACGATATACATTCATTGTTCACATTTTCGACCACAATTTTGCATGAAATGTTTGCTGCTGCACAATAAGGGAGGCGAAATATACAAACGGGAAATTCAAACTTATAAGCCAAAAACAAACTGACAATGTCATGGCAAAATAAAACGAAAAACTGCCAAGAAACGAACAGTAGTAAACAAAAAAACAACAGTAAACTTGTATTTACCTGATCGTTGCAGAAGGTCATATAAAATATATAAAATTATGTTTCCAATGGCACGCGAACGCAACACAAAAATAAACACATACTTCGAGCCCAATAGTAATGATTTAAATTGTCGTCTGGTCATTTGCAAACTTAAATGGTGTGTTTAATATGATAAAAGGAGATGTGGGATAAATGTAAATTATAGGCAAAAACCCAACAAAAAATATTTTGAAGTTTGATGCATATCATCCCTACTCTTTTATTCCTATCTGTGGTTTTGTTCCATTATTATAGTGACGATAGTGAATTGATGCGAATATTAAAAAAAAAATTGTGTCGCGTCGTGAAACAAAACATACAATAACAAACGTATAAGCGTCCAAACAATGTTTTACTAGTTTGTTATTGACATAATGTACTAGTATTTTGAAATAGATTCCAGTATATATCTTCTGGTCTTTTGTTACTCGGGGTTTCCCGTCAAACTGTTCGGTGAGCAATTTGCGTGCGCCATCAAGTTCAACACCTCTTTTTTCTGCAAGGATTAGATCTTTAGAACTCAATCATTCTCCGACCATCACGACATGCCAAGTTACTTTTATTTTCTTGGGAAGGAAGCAATGTTTCACTCGGACAAGACATTTTGTTTACCATTACTACATTTTTTTGTTATATTTTAATGATGTGCATTCAATATATTCTTCCACCGAGTTAACCATTATTCCGATGAAGCGGAATATCTTCCGACATCTTGAAAACGTTGTTCTAGTGTACGGGAGATAACTCTCATAACAACAAACGTAAGTTTTCCCGTTTTCCGCTAGAGGCGTTCATTTACGTACCTCTCACCATAATAACACTGATTTTTCCTGTCACCCTACACATAAATCTAAATCCATGCAAAGATACTGACTATGTTTACGTCTGTAATAGTTATCCCATGAGGACGCGGTGTGTCAGTGTAAGATCATCCCGATGACCGGAGGCCAGAGGGTGATCTAATACTGACACACCAAGTCCGAATGGTATAACTATTTTACATCCCAGCTGTTCAAGATTAGATAAAAAACCATTTACGCTTCATAAAATCAAGTTTAGAACGCCACACAATCATTAATATATACTTTATATATTACTATATGGCATATACCCTTTTTGAGCACGGGACAAAATGTTTAAATATGTTAAATTAACATCGATTTTTATCCAGTCGTGCTGGTGTAGGGGTATGACTCGTGTGTCTATATGCTAAAGGTCTTGAGTTCGATTCCCAGCATAGACACTGAATTTTTCAACAAAAAATTTTGATAGTTAGTCTTTTCCGTATAAATATTTCTAAGTTTTAGTATAAATTTGACATTCCCGCCAAAATGTTACAAAACAAAGGAAAGCATGCAGAACAAAGACACTTAAGCTAAGGTGATCTGGTAGGGGTAATCCGGCTCAGATCACCCCTGGTAGAACAAAGGAGCTGGGATGTAAGATCACTTACAATCATGCTCTGGTCACATTACACAATTATTCAATTTGGTTAACTCTGGTCACCTAACAATTATAAAGACATTGGTTACTTTTTGTCATCTTACACATATATTGACTTTGGTTACCTCTGGTCATCTTACACAGATATTGACGATGGTAACATCTGGTCACCTTACGTCAATATTGATTTTGGTTACCTCTGGTCACCTTGCACATATATTAAATATGGTTACCTTTTAACTTCATAGTACTATTTTACTACACCATGAAAACCAATTATACCATGCATTTTTCGATATATAAAATTGAGAATGGAAATGGGGAATATGTCAAAGAGACAACAACCCGACCAAAGAGCAGATAACAGCCGAAGGCCTCCAATGGGTCTTCAACGCAGCGAGAAAATCCCGCACCCAGAGGTGGGCGTCAGCTGGGCCCTAAATAAAAATATGTACTAGTTCAGTGAAAATGGACGTCATACTAAACTCCAAAACATATAAATGAACTAAAATTAAAAAAACATACAAGACTAACAAAGACCAGAGGCTCCTGACTTGGGACAGGCGCAAAAATGCGGCGGGGTTAAACATGCTTAGTGAGATCTAAACCCTCCCCCTATACCTCTAGCCAATGTAGAAAAAAACAAACACACAGTAATACGAACAGTAAAACTCAGTTCAAGTCCAAGTCCGATGTCAGAATAGATAACAAAAGAAACTAAGCAATCAGTTAATCAGCTAATACCAAGCATGTTATAATAAAAAGACCGTCTAATATCATAGTACTATCTTACTACACCAGAAAAACACACTACATCCTCTTATGTTACATCCACCAGCGTCCTGTAATTAAAGGTGCGCTACATCCTCATATGTTACATTCACCAGGGGCCTATATAATATAAGGCATACCGTACACCCTCCTAATGTTACATTTACAAGGGACCTGTGTTATATAAGGTACAGTACACCCTCAACTGTTACATTCACCAGGGACCTGTTATATAAAGGGTACTACTACACCCTCCTATGTAACATCCACAGGGACTTGTGTTATATAAGGTGCACTACACACTCCTATGTTACATTCACCAGAGACCTGTAATAAAAGGTGCACTATATCCTCATATGTTACATTCACCAGGGGCTTATATCATATAAGGCATACCGTACACCCTCCTTTGTTACATTTACAAGGGACCTGTGTTATATAAGGTACAGTACATCCTCAAATGTTACATTCACCAGGGACCTGTTATATACAGGGTACTACACCCTCCTATGTTACATTTACCATGGACCCGTGTTATATGAGGTGTACTAAACCGTCATATGTTACATCCACCAGGAACCTGTGTTATAAATTGCACTACACCATCCTATGTTAAATCCACCAGAGACCTGTGTTATATAAGGTGCACTACACCCTCAA